AAGCCGTATAGTTCCCATGGGTTTTTAACAATTTTTCACCGCGGTTACTAATTTTAAAAAAATTTAAAATAGATAAAATACTGAATTTATTTTTCACAATTAACATAAGATAGCACTTGATTTTGATTTCAAACTTAATTGTTTACTAATAGTATATAGTATTTGTAACCATATTAATTAACATTTTTTAATTGACACAAAGTTCAACCTGGCAGCCAAATTTCAGAGCAGTGCATTACATTCTATTGTTGCTAGAAAGAGCACCAATAATTATTTTTCCATTTTTTGTTTTAATTTCAAGCAAGCATTTAATCTAGTTTTTATTTTTTATTTTTTTATTACTAGCACCATTTCGCTGTAATAAAAAAAACATTCTTGTTATCAAACATTTAATTTACGTTTTGATATACGTATTTAATTTACGTTTTAAATACAAGCAAGCAGTAAAGTAAAGAAATCTATTTTCCTCATTAAATAAGTTTACAGTACCAATTTGTTATATTATAATTATATATTTTATATGATTATAACTTTACATCATAAATTTTTTTTTGTATTTAACTTATATTTCAGAGGTTGTTTTATAAAAAAATTTGTTGAGAAATGATAGTAGATAAGTAAAAAAAGATTTTAGTCGATGTTGATAAGTAAAAAAATGTTAAAGTCGATGCGATCACCTTAAACAGTTGATACAAGCTACTAAACAAAAAAAGAAAAACAATAACTAATAAACTTCTGTAATATCCGCTTTGATCAAAATTTCTGACACAAACAGCTTCTCGGTATTTTGAATAAATTTTGTTGATGAAGCACATGTACTACTTGAAGTTGAGTTTGCAGTGTGACTTATTATTCAGCCAAAATGGACAAAACTTTTAAAAAATAGCATTTTAGAGTGTTAAACCAATCATATTTGTTTTTTTTGACTTTGTTTCGTGCTAACTTTTTTTTTACTTTGTTTTTTTGTACTTTATTTCTTGCTAACTTTTTTATATAAAGTTTGCTGTTGTTGAAAGACATTGCAAAGAATTAATTGCAAATTTTTAGAAATGAATTTTACAACAAGTTGCCGAGTAAGTTGCCTAAAATCTCTAGGAAAATCCCAATTCTCAAGAAGTTTTTCTCAAGAGACATTTTCACAGTTATGTAATCGCGTAGTTAGCGGTGATTTTATTTCAAGTTGTACACAGTAAATTAAAATATCTTAAGTTATTTTTCTATCAGTATTTAATAATAATTAATTTTCAATAGTTTTTAAAACTATTTCTAAATTTTAGTTTATGATTTAGCTTTTTTAATTTTATGAGCATTTCGGAATACCACGTTTGACGGGACCCCACAGGGCTAGTTTACACCCTGATAAAAGTAGAATAAAAGTCTATTCCCTACACATAATGTTTTCATTTTAAATAAACCTTAGAAATAAAGTTTTGAGTTGATTAAAATTATATAAGCAAAATTTAATTGTTATTAGTTTTTATTATTAAGTTATTATTATTGAGACTTAAAATTATTTTTAATAGTATAAAAAATATTTAAATATTTTAAATATAATTAGTGTAAAATTTTTACAAGTTTTAAAAGTTTTATAATAAGTTGCATCAAGACTTTAAATAAAGAATTGAAAAAGATGATTCATAATGTTGAAATGATTTTATTTATTTTTTATATTTTTTTGATAAATTTAATGAACAAAGTAAATAGTAAAAAAAAAAAACTTGAAAAATTTTAGAAAAATATATAAGTATGTCAATTTCATGAGTGTGAATATGTAACCTTTGTTTTTTATGAAGAAAATTGCTGGCTTGTTGATTCGCGAAGGAAATTTTCAGCTTATTTTTTTTTAAATCTGTTCTTAATAATGCGCTTGTTTTTGACAAAAAACAAGATGAAGGACGCGTTTAAAAATTTTTTATAAACTTGTTTGCACAAAACAATTTAATTTCGTTTTGATTGACAATAATAGCAACACCCAGGGTCACATAAAATATGCAAACAATTTTGTTGCTTAGATATAAGAAAATACAGTTTTTTCAAGTTGCTGACATGTGGAACACAATGACCTCAATATGTTGAAAAATAAAGTTAAATATTTTGATTTCAACAAATACTTATTGTAAAGGAACAACTATTCGTTTCTTTATAATTTTGTTATTGGTTTTGTATTGACATTCTATTTTTTTTTTTTTTTAATTTATTAATTATTTTTTTTAAATCTATTTATGGACACTTTGTTAGTGTCCATCTTTGTAGGAGCCTTTGTGTTCTTTAGAACATGTATTTGATGTTCTAATAAATATCAATCAATCAATCAAAAAGTGTTCTTGTAACAATAAAATTTTAGTTTTTAGTATTTTTCCTTTTTTTTAATCTGTTAAGTAAAAAACAAATTATTATTTAACTTCAACTAAGCACTTGCTAAGAAAAAAAGAAAACATTGTTAAAAGTGAAAATTTTCAAATAATTTTATCATCAGTATAATTTTTTAAAATTCTTGAAAATTTTTAAGATCATTCAATGATGACCTGCCTAAAAGTCACAAGTTCATTTCAACAAGTTTTACTTTTATTTATTTTCAAAAAAAATTGTTAATACAAAATAATATAACAAAAAATTTTTATATTTATATAAAAAATTTATATATATGTTTGTTTTTTGGGATTCAATGATAAATCATACAAAGAAATTTGATTTGTTGATTGTTGGAGTAAAGAAAATATTGTGTATTTTTTTAAATTATAGTTTTTAAGAATAGTCTCACATACGTTTCATTTTTCATTTGGTCAAAAGCTTCCAGTGGCGTCTTAAAATTTTGCTTTAATGAAATGTTTTATTAAACATAAATGTTATTATTATTTTATTATAACCACTAAAGAGAAATTAAAGAATTTAGTTTGAAAAAGACAATCAAATAAATCTCTTTAGTAAATACACATTGAATAATCAAACAAGATATTTTACAACAAAAAAAAAAAACTATGTGGAAATTTGTTGAAAATTAATAAAATATTATTAGATGGAAAGAATCAACAATTGCAAAGACATCTTCATTTCCAAAGTTGCAAATGACATAAATAAACTTGAACATTTTACAAAAGGATTATTCAATGTTGACCAAGTTTCTCTTTAATATGGTTTTAGTATTTTTCATATGTGTATATTTGCTGTTTTAGAGTGAAAATAAAAATTTCTTACCAAGTGGTATAATTTTATTAAAAAAATGTAGCAACTGTATCATAGCAACTGTATAATTTCAATTTAAAAGAAATTAAGATTGTAATTTGAAGAAACAAATTTAACATTAATGCCAAGATCATGTAGTTGTACAACTAATAGAAAATGTATGGAAAAAAAGTATTTGCAGTTCTTTTCTGAATTTTTAGATAAAGATTTTCAAAGAATAATTTGCTGTGTTTAAATTATAGTTATAATTTAAACACAGCATAGTTAATAATAGTATATTAATAGCATTCTGTTATGTTATACTTATTTAATACTTATTTGATAATTATAATAATTATAATAATTATAATAATTATGCTGTGCTAATACTTATTTAATAATTATTTAATTAACTATTATAATAATTATGCTATACTTAATAATTTTAATTTTAATCAATTGTTATAATAATTTAATTAGTGTTTTTTAAAAGAGTGGTTTGCTTTAAACTTCTTGAGCAAATCCGTCGTTTTAAAAAAAATACTCATTCAACTATGCTATACTTAGTTATTACTGTTATACTTAAATAAGAAACTTATATTATACTTATATTATACTAAACTTATATTATACAAATTAAATGTTGAAGATGTACAGACAAGAAATTTAATTCAATTTAAGATAAATAATAGTTAATAAATAAGCTATATAATATACAAAAAAGAATTCGAAAAACTTTTATGAACATTAGTTTTATAACATTAATGTGTGGAATATTATAATAAATAGATAAAATAAATTTTGCTTTTACAAAATTAAAAATATTCTGTAGTTAAAATTTTGTTACATTTACTTTTTATTCAGATTGCATTTGTATAGTAATTTTCTATTTGCATTTCATTTTTCTATTCACATTGCATTTCCACATGTGTTTGGTTAAAACAGTAAACATTCCATTCTAGAAATTAGATGTAACAACTTCAAACTTTTCATTCATTTTCTTAATACAAAATGGAAACCATTGATTATGTTCGTGCAAAACAGAAACATGCTATCTAGATTAAAGCGAGTGACACAACGCCACTATTTTATATTAGTGCTTTGTTAATTGTAATTGAATTTTACTGTTAAATTAAACAAGTTTTATCTTTAACAAAAAATTCTTATCAAGAATATAAAAAAAACAACAAACAACTTATCATTTTCTCCAAATTCTTAAACAAGCATGATTTTATACTCTCATTGTAAGAGCTTCACTTCACATTCACTTTATCAATTTAGAATATTGAACATCTTCACTTCCAAGGTTGCAAGCAACCACTATTAGAGTTGGAAGTTACTGGAGAAAAAATATAATGTTTATAAAGCAAAATAACAAGGAAACAAAATCTGAGCTATGCAAGAGAAGTAGAATAACAGATTTGTCCTTATTATGTGGTTTAGACAGTTTTCCATCATTTTTGGTTTAGAATCCAAAATGTAAAAAAGTAAAATAGGACTTCAAAGCTTCAGATATTGATACTATATTAGCAGACCTGGTGCAGTGGTTAGACCACTAGCTTCATAATCATGAGGTCCAAATTTTGACGCATGCTTAGGCTATGTAAGTAATGAAAGAATTGTAGACTTTCTCCTTATGTGCTTTTTTTGTGGTGCTCTATGACAAGACTGTTACAACATCTTGTAGCACCTAAAAAAAAAAAATGTTTTTCAAAGCTTCAGATATAAAATCAAGTCTTTAAATAGTGAAAGAGAGTTAACTATTGTCAAAGCAGTACTTGCAAAAATAAAAATTTATTTTTAGATGGCAACGTGAAATAAATTATAAATTTTTTTAGATAACAAAGTAAAGGACTTAACTTGTCGTTATGCTGCTAAATGGCTTAGTTTTAACCGAAAACTGCGTGTTGATCGTGACTGGTGGTTTAAAACTCTTGCACCATACAAGCCCATAGAGTCTTCAATTGATTCTGCAGAAGATGCTCAACTGACAAAGAATCTTCTTGACAAAGATTTCCCTAAAACAATCAGCGATTTTAAAGATAATCCACTGTATGCTTTAAAACGACACCTATTGAAATTTCAAGCAATTTATCCTGAATCAGCTGTTCCTTTAGGATACATCCGTAACGAAGCAATATATTCACGAGACTGTATCAGAGAGGTAGAATATTTTTCCTATGTTTTAAACTTTTTTCTGTATTTTATATTTGCTTATACAGTTTGCATTTTAGTTCAGGTTTAGTCATAACTTGTAAGCACATATTTTGATCGATAGCATGTATTTTGAAAACAGGTAAAACAAGTCCAAACAAGTTATCATTAAAATGTTTTAAATTTGTTTGCAACATTTTTTGTAGCTTAATACTTTTTAACAAAAAAAGTCACAATAATAAGCATTGTCATAGTGAAGGAGATTAATATAGTCTCCTTCACCATTACAACTCTCAGAATTAGGATTGGCATTTGGCAATGCCAATAAAATTGTGAGAATGGTCATAATAATAAAAGTGATCATAATAAGGATGTTCATAAAGATGAGGATAATTTTAATAGACTTTATGAATGTAATAAAATAAGAATGATTATAATAGTAGAGATGTTTTTGAAAGAATGTACTAAAATCACTTTCTAGTAGAGTTTCTAGTAGTACTAAAATACACTTTCTAGTAACTCAATGTATTACTAAGTGGTTCACACTGTGAAGCTTATTGTGTACAAGTAGACAAGGACATTCATCACTTTTTTCTTTCTCTGTGTGTTTTCTTCTCTTCATCAGGGTTGGCGTCAAATACATCTGATCAAACCCAAATAAATAAAAAATATGCTATATAATATGCTATCAGCCTTTTACAAATACAAATATTTGTACTTTAAGTTAATAAAGAATTGATTTTTCAATTTTTTATTTTTTATCAAAAAAAGACTTTTTGAAGACAAGACTGGTAAAATGGTTTACTAAATAGAAAAATAAAAACAAGTCTTCAACAAATATTCCTTCAAAACAAATTTTTAATTTATTTTAGTATTAAAATAAAAAAAAATTTGAATTTCTTGATTTTTCTTAAAAAAGTACCAGTTGTACTTTTCCAAAAACTAGGTACAATTCCAAAAACTAGGTTATTTAGGTTGTCTACACAACCTAAATAACCTAGTTTTTGGAATTGTAAATACAAATCAAATACAAATATAAATACAAATATTTAGGAAATTGTTTGATACAAATACAATACAAATAAGCCAAATTAACCTATTTTTACCAAATATAAATACATGCTTGACCCCAACCCTGGCACTTATACACTTTATCATTTACTTGTTTATGTTCAGTCAATTTTTGATATAAGAAAATTTTTGTTTTTTTTATATTAAAAATTGAACATATTTTAAATATAAATATAATATGAACAAATTTTAGCTTCACACTCGAGAAACTTGGATGAAACAAGCAAAAGTTGTGAAACCTGGTGAGGTTCCTTATAAGGTTGTTAAAGGAAGACCAAAAAGGGTAAATTTTCTTCTTTTTTTTTTTATAAAAAATATGTTCAATTCAAGATGTGTGAAAAGTCAGGCTATATATTTCTTGCATATTAAAGTCATTAATTATAGGACTAAGTGTAGACTGGAAATAATTTGCGTAAATAAAAGTAATATTGTAAACAATTGATAACATTCAATTTTCTATTTTCACATTAAGCACATGCCGATTTATACACCATTATGTTTTTCTCTTGAATTGAGCGCTTATTTTATCAAAAAAATATTCGCTCTATTTTACATCAACAAATTTTTAACAAATATAAAAAAACAATTCACAAATATTTTAAAACCCTTTGTTTATAACGTGTTGTAATTACTTGCTTTTAATGTGTTGTAAAGTATTGCATTTTAATTAAATTTAATTTTAAACATTTTGCATTTCACAAAAAAAGGGAGTAGTGCTTTTGTTTAAGAGAACTCTTTTGTGAAAAGAATTCTCTAAAACAAAAGCACTTCTCCCTTTTTATAAGGATAAAAAAAAGTTTTCAATTTTTTTTCGCTTATAATAATCTATGATAATATATGATAGAGAGACTTATATTTTACATAATGAATTAGTTAGTAGAGGATTAAAAACTTTAATTAAAAGTATAAAACTGTTTTACATTCATTTGAAACTCTACATTCAGCTTTTTACAATTTTACATTCCTTCAAAATAAAATAAAATTTTTAAAATCATGTTTTATTAAAAATCTGTTAAAATTAAAAGAAATTTTGTTTAAAAAAGGGTTTGTTTTAAAAAATTCTTTTTTTACTAAATATTTTTTACGACCTAATATTTTCTGAATAAAGGCCACATAAACAATGTTAAAAGATAATTTAAATATTCCAAAAAAGTTTTTGCCTAACTAAACTCTGTTAACGTTTATATTTTACAAAAAAGTTTTTGCTTTAACTGAACGCTTTTGACAGTTACGAAAAAAAATGAGTTGCGTAGCACTTCTTAACAAGTCCAAAGAATTTTTTTTTTGCCAAATTTAGTTCCGTTACTTTTTTTTTTAATTTTTATTTAGTAAGTATTTTATTAAATACGTTTAAATTCTCGTACAATTTATTTATGTTCTAATTAATAATAGAAAATGCAGAAAACAAACTTTGAGACTATAACTTTAAAAACAAAGTTTTATTATTTTAGATAGTTACTTTTCTTTTTGTAGAATTTTTAAATTAAATCCATAACTAGCAATAAAAAACAATAGTTGTCATTTCAGGCAACTTAATTGCATCAAAGGAATATTTTTAGTCAACCTACTTAAAATTCGGTTGTCTGGTACTTTTGGACGACCACGAGTCTACATCCCTGATTTGGTGTTGTTTTTTTTTGCAATAAAACAATATTTCCCATGAAAGCATAAAAAAAAACGTTAAAAAAAAACGTCCTCAAATTTTTATTTGGGCAACACCCTAATCAACACCCAAATTTGGTTGGCGCTATCGAAAACGGTGTAGAACAGTCGCTAACATACACATGTATGTATATAACATTGTTATAATGTATATACATACACATATATGTATATAACATAAATTAAATCTTATGTGTATGTCATTTGTGTAAATCATTTTCAATAAATTTTGGATTTACCTAAAAAATACTTAACTGATTCTAAACTTTTACAAGAGACTTTAATATTAAAAAACAACCTCAAATAACAACAGTCTAAAGGAATTTAGTGGTGATCAAGTATTTGATAATTAATAAGTAAAGAAATTGTAAATAATATATAAAAAATATAAAATACTTTTTCATTTTGTTTAAATCTTATTCAATATTTTCTTATAAATCAAACATAACCATCAATATGATGCTTGTAACTCTCTTCGCAGATATGTATAAAATATTAAGAAGTTTAAAAACATTTAAAAACATAAAAAACTTTAATTTACTTATAGTCATTTTACTACAAACAAAAAAAAACTTCAATTTTTTTATTTTAAATATTTATTTTTATTTTTTCCAATATAAAAAACAGATGAACTTTGGTTTGAAAGTAACTGAAAAGTCATTAGTTTTATTTAATTTTTGAAAAGGGTCATCCACCATGACAATTGATTACACACTGGCTCCCATATATCAGTGAATTTTTTTTTCTTCAAAAGTACCTGTGTTTCGAAAGAACCAGAATTTTATAGTGATTTCAAAATTCATAATTTTTTCCCAACCAAATGTCATAAAAAAATGGCCTTTTCAATTTTAAGTTAAAAATTGTTGTTTTTTGTATTCAAAACTTAAGCAATTTATTTTTATTTGAAACCAATATTATTTCTGAAATCTCTATGAAATCCTGGTTCTTTTGAGACCCAGGTTGATATACTTTTGAAAAAAAAATTCACTGATATATGGGAGTCATTATGTAATCAATTGTCATAGTGGGTGACCTTTTTCAAAAATTAAATAAAACTAAGGACTTTTCAGTTACTTTCAAACCAAAGTTCATCTGTTTTTTATATTGGAAACTGGAGATACCAAAAAGTCACATCCCTTATATATATATATATATATATATATATATATATATATATATATATATATATATATATATATATATATATATATATATATATATATATATATATATATATATATATATATATATATATATATATATATATATATATATATATATATATATATATATATATATATATATATATACAGGGGTGGGACCGCAAAATGTGAACGTTTTTGTTTTATTATAACTATTTTCTCGTTAGATGTAGTGGTACTCTCTCACTCATCAGAAAGTGTCTAAAGAGTTGGTCTAAACGTTGTAAAATGATCTACGAGAATCAAGGAGGTCAAATTGAACATTTAAAATAGTTCATATTTAACAGAAAATTAATTATTACAATCAGAAAAGTGTTCACATTTTGCGGTCCCACCCCTGTAGTAAGTCTAAAATCAAAGCTGGTACAAATTCATTGTTGACCAGTATATTTAGATCTGTAAGATTGGAATGTCGTTAACAGTTCACAAAGTTTATGCTCATGGAGCAAAAATATAATATAATGATAAACTCGCCAGTTCCTTGGCTAAAATTCCTCGGCTAAAATTCCATTTGGGAACTTTAGCCGAGAAAGCATTAGAATGCCGATACAAATATTACAGACAACATCATAAACTACATGCTTAAAGACAAGCAAATTTTAAAGACGTCTTTAACCGTGTAATGAGATCAACCGATTCTCTTATTAGTTCTATCTCCTTGGAATCTAGACGGACGAAGAAAAGTGTGCTCAAATTTCCAGAAAAAGTAAAGAGTTTTTTAGTTTTTAGAAAACATTGACATGTGAAATAAATATAGCAATATTAATAGTGAAAATTGTGAAAAATGATTACTTTGAAGAAAGTTTTTTAAATCTTCTTATTTTAAAAATTAAAACAAATTAGGTCTGTGAGTGTAATGGGTTATCTTTACAAGTTACTTGCTCTAATGGAACAATATAATTAATAATAAATAATATTATCATAGGCGCGGCTAGTTGTTCGGAGTTTTCGCCTAAAAAAATAATCATTAAGGTCCAACAAATTTTACTTCTAAATAAGTTAATGAATTGTTAGTTCAAATGACATAAAGATAAAAAAATTAAATAAAAGTTATTACATTCTTCAAAACTATTTTTGGCCACCCATTTTTATGAAATTACGACAGTGCTACGGCATTAGATTTTTAAAGCAAAATATTGAGACGATTCTATATAGGCCATATGTTGCCCAAACATAATACGATATTTGTGAAAAACTGATTTGCAGAATTGAAACATTATGCCGAAATAAAACCTTAGTTATATGTTAGCCCGACGGAATAAATTTGCAAATGTTTAAACTTACGTTGGGCAAATGTACAGGGGTGGGACCGCAAAATGTGAACGTTTTTGTTTTATTATAACTATTTTCTCGTTAGATGTAGTTGTACTCTCTCACTCATCAGAAAGTGTCTAAAGAGTTGGTCTAAACGTTGTAAAATGATCTACGAGAATCAAGGAGGTCAAATTGAACATTTAAAATAGTTCATATTTAACAGAAAATTAATTATTACAATCAGAAAAGTGTTCACATTTTGCGGTCCCACCCCTGTATATATATATATATATATATATATATATATATATATATATATATATATATATATATATATATATATATATATATATATATATATATATATATATATATATATATATATATATATATATATATATATATATATATATATATATTAGGGATGTACCGAAGCTGCAATTTTGCCGAAGCCGAAGCTTCGGCCGAAGCCACTTTGCCAAAGCCGAAGCTTCGACTTAAGTTATACGTAATTTAAAGCTCAATTTACTTCACCACGGTGGTTTGAATAATCAAGTTGCTTTTAAAATTATATATCAGTGTTTTAGGTTTGAATGTTTTGGCCTACATGCCCATTTTAGGAAAATTATAAAACAAAACCAATATTATAAAAAATTTAAACAAATTTTGTACAAAAGTTTAGAGAGTGAAATTTAGACTCTTAACTCTATATATCTAGCAGGTATAGGAAAGATTACATCACTAAATCTTAGACATTTACTGATACTTAAGGTAAAATATGGTCTTTTCTTTGAAAGAATTCATAAAAATGTAAACACGTAAAATGTAAAAATATAAAAGTAGTCATTAATTTAATTTGAACACAAAATTTTGTATTTGTTTTAAATTTTGTTAAAAAGTTGAATCAGTTGAACTAAGAAGCTACAGTCTATTATTTAGTTAATAATAATTTATTCAATAAAAGCAGGCATATTACAATTTAAAAATGCAATCTGTTCTCCATGTTTGGGTAATAGTCTGTTTCTTTTTGCTTCAAATATGTTTCCAGATGTGCTAAATAAGCGTTCACTTTTTACAGATGAAGGAGGCGCGCACAAAACTTTCTTTGAAAACTTTGACAAATTCAACTTGTAAGTATCTTTATCAGAGGAAGTGTAACGGTATGCACTCCACCACTTATAAGGGCATTCATTCTTAGGCAGTATTGGAAGGCTCAAGTAGAAGTTGACTTCATTGGTGCTGGTACATAAAATATAGGTGATAATTTTAGGTTTAAATTTTTAAAATATTACATTTTAATCAACTAAACCAAATAAAAGAATGCTGTTATCCGTCTTTTGAAATATAAAAAATGGAGATTGAGAATAGAGATAAAAAAAAAATTTAATATTTAATGTATAAACAATATAAAAATCATAAATAGATTCTGTTTTCTTACCATTTTTCTTTGACAGTTAGAGTTTTTCCCATTGAACTAGGTTTTTTTTTCTTTTTTCTCCGTCCGTCAGAATTTTCTGAATTTTGTAGAGCATACTCATTTGCACCGATTTGGTGGAACAAGCTATATATGTCCATGCTCATTAGTTTTTTTTTTTTTAATGGAGAGCCATGGCCATCAAAATCTGAGTCGGACTCATGAATTTTAGATTCTGAAAATGAACATAATGATTCTTCTGAGTCTGATCCACTACCTCTTGCTACACCAAATTCAATTTCTTTTACTTGTTCTAAATGAAATTTGGAACAAAAACGGTAGAACTCTAAATGGAGTATTTCTTTAAACATATTATGATTCTTGTCTTCAACAAACTTTAACTTGAAACGAGGATTAAGCATCATCGCAATTTTTAAATCAACATTATCCTTGTATTTTTGAAAACGACAGTTAAAATCTTTCTTAAGTTCATCAACAACAGTTTTTATTTCAGTTGCCGTGTCACCAGCGTAGTCTAGAAACTTTTCCATTGCATAGACAAATGGTATAATCTATGATATACATGCAGTTTCTTTACTCATGTCTTTTGTAGTACTTTCGAAGTGTTTTAATATGCATACAAGCATTTCAGCAAGTTGCCATTGATTTTCCGTAGGATTTTTTGCATTTGTTTGATTTCTGGTAATGCAATACAATGTAATAGCTTTTTTCTGCTCAATGAACCTTTCAAGCATATAGTATGTCGAATTCCATCTTGTGGAAACATTTGAATTATGTTATGCTCTGGCAATTTTAGTTGACTTTGAATTTCCTTTAGTTTAGCCACAGCACTAGATGAGTGGTGGAAATGTCCTGCTAATGCTCGAAAAACAGCTGTTGTATCACTTGCTGTTCTTTGTTCTCTAAAGATCTTTTTCTGAATACAAAGTTGTAAAGTATGTATCAGACATGGAAGATGTTTATCGCCCAAATTTGACTCTTTAATGGCAGCCATTACATTGGCTGCATTATCAGTTAAAACTGCATGAATTTTTTCATGGGGAATTTCCCATGATTGTAGCGCTTTATTTATGAATTTACTTATATTGTGCCCTGTGTGCGACTCAGGGAAGTGTGTAACTTGTAAGATGACATGTTTAACTGTAAACTCATGCGTTACAAATCTAGCTGTTAAACTGTAATACGATTGAATTGTGTGCTGACAGGTCCAACCATTACTAGTTAAACTTAAGAAATCTGCTTGATCAAGCTCATATTTTACTTTGGCTTTTATGGTTTCGTACATCAGTGGAATGACATTTGTGGAGAAATACTTTCGACTAGGTATTGTATAGTTTGGAGCTAAGTTCTTTAAAAGTCGGGTAAAACCTTTATCTTCAACAATACAGTATGGCTGCAAGTCTAAACATATCATTTCTCCAATAAGCTTGGTAATAGCTTGAGCCTTAGGATTATCAAGTTGCCACAATTCTTTTCTTTGCAAAATCTCCCGCAGTGAGACCTGAAACAAATTCAACGAATTAAAAAAAATTACTTAGCAACTTGTAACTAACAATGGCCAGCGACGGATCTAAGTGGCGGATAGAGGTATGTATCTTTCCCCCCTCACCAGAACATTTATTATAATATTATAAGCTTAGATAAGTTAAGTTAACTTTTTTCTATACAAAAGATAATTTTTCGACAAGACATGCCCCCGTCCAGTCACAAAATCATGAATACTGAATAGTAAATGAATTCAGCTACAGTTAGCTGAGTTACCTGTGTCGATGCTTTTTGAAAAAAGGCAATTGTTTTATTAGACACACGCGAGCTTCCCTGCTGAAATTTTAATTATTTTCTTACCTTTAATAATATTTATTGAAATAAACAATATTCGTTCAATTTTTTGATTCAAATAATATTTGAATTAAAAAAAATCGAAGTCGTAAATAACCAATTAACCTATATTTGTAGAGCAGGTATATTTAGTTTTTCTAATGATCCAGCGTACAAAATCAAAAACAAACGCAATTGACTTACATTTCAATTGTGCTTTTCTGTGTAGTGTCTTTTCTGTGTAGTGTCTTTCTGTGTAGTGTCTTTCTGTGTTTTGTCTGTAACTTAGTAAAACAAACTTTCTGAATAAAAATTGTTTTGTGCGTTAAAATTAACTTATGGTATAGATTTACAAAAATTTCGAGAATAGTTAACTCTCTTAACTCTCGTGCGCTATGTTTTTTATTACTTAAAATCCGGAGGTTTTAGTTACATCTAAGTAATTTTAAATGAAGATTTATTTCCAGGTTTAATTTTTAATTTTAATTTAATATTAAAAAATATATAATTTAATATAACTCGGATTTTAGAAGTTGATGCTAACTAATAACTAAATGCTAAAAAAATTAAATTTTAATAATTTTTCATTATTTTACTACCAACTAATGCATAAATAAGTTTAATTGCTAAGCTCGAGTGATCATAACTAAATATTAATGTTATGGTATTTAATTATATAAAGTTTACTATAATGTTACAGTTTAAATCAGCTTATATTGAGTGATTATAAAAAAATTAATGTGTTTTATTAAGTAACTTTATTTTCTATCCGCTATCCTGTCGTTTTTGGCCGCCCTACACACGGCCTTGCCACCTCCAAAAGCCGTCGCTGAATTCATTTAGTCTTCACAATTGTAAAGATCAGAGGCTTGTTCTCAGAAGAATAGGAAGAATTTTGAACGTTCAACTACGTTTTATTCGGAAAACAGACGTCGTGTGAACGTTTAAAAAATGTCTTCCTCAGTCGAATGCCAGCTCAGTAATGTCCATTTTTTTGCCGAAGCCAATGATTCGGCAAAAAACGACCATGGCTTCGGCCGAACCTAAGCTTCGGCAAAATTGCCGAAGCCGAAGCTTCGGTACATCCCTAATATATATATATATATATATATATATATATATATATATATATATATATATATATATATATATATATATATATATATATATATATATATATATATATATATATAAAAGTTGTTTTCTCCGTAAACAACTTTATATATATATATATATATATATATATATATACACATATATATATAAAAGTTGTTTACGGAGACAAATTTTTTACAAAAAAACAATGCTCACAAGGACAAAAAATCAACGGGTACACAAAAATGTCCCCAGTAATGCTTATGTCCTCAAAAAAATTTGTTTTTTGTAAAACCTGTCCCCATAAGAGATACTATATATGTAATATATATATACATATACATATATATATATATATATATATATATATATATATATATATATATATATATATATATATATATATATATATATATATATATATATATATATATATATATGTATATATATATTACATATATAGTATCTCTTATGGGGACAGGTTTTACAAAAAAACAAATTTTTTTGGGGACATAAGCATTACTGGGGACATTTTTGTGTACCCGTTAATTTTTTGTCCCCGTGAGCATTGTTTTTTTGTAAAAAATTTGTCTCCGTAAACAACTTTTATAGAGAGCACAAAGTATATATATCAACTATCAAATAGCCTGACTTGCAACAAAATGCTGCTAAATCAATTGAGAATTTGGTTAGGGTCAGAATAAAGGTCAAACTTAGGGTCAGGGTTATGGCAAAGTTTTTGGTATATTGTCACATTACTGTAATTAATCATTTTTGTAAATAGATAAAGAAAAAAAAGAAATATAATATATTATAAATAGATAAAAATAACAAAAATAAATATAAAAAGTATATTTTTATAATAAAATCATAAATTTAAATATGTATAAATAAAAATAGAAATAAAATAAAAATTTTTAAAATTATACAAATATGAGAAAAATAGTAGAAAAAATGTAAAAAAAATCTTAAAAGCCGACTAGGAGTGTAATTCTGCAGATTGACAACTATATAATCAAAGTATTTATAAAAGTTGTTTAAATATTTATTTGAATTTGATGTAATAGTTATAATATATATATTTATTTAAAAAATTTATTTTAGAACACTCCGGTGTTTGAAAGAGAAAATGTCAAAGTTGAAGTATTTGGCGAGTGGCAAACAGAAGATTACATTCCTCCTCCTGTCGTCAATGTAATGTGTTTTTAGGTATTTTAAGGTTCACAATATATTATATTCAAACATTTTATAATTAACTGTATTTTATATACATATATAATACAGTTGCTTTAAGCAGGAATAGATAGTTTATAAGAAAATAAAAGTTAACTTAAAAATAAAAAATTTTAAAGTCGCTATCTTAATTGAAAAAGATGTTTAAAAATCAACATATTAAACTGCTTCAAAATTGTCATTATTTGCAGAATTACAAAGAAATGTGTTATTAAAAATAAGTGAACATAAAAAAAACTAAAATTTTCCAGCTGTTTTATTATTTTTTATTTTTAAATTAATTAAGTTTAAAGTTTTTATGCTAAAATAATGTTGTTGTTTTCAATTTAAAAACAAAAATGTCTTAAGTTATTTTTTGTTAAATACAAATAAATAATTTTAAATCCAAATAAGTTACATTTAAAACCACACTTTTCTATAAATGTTTTATTTACATTAGTTCATCTAATTATATGGCTTTTATGTGAAACTACCTAATTTTACAGGACCCAAATATATCTAAAAATTTATTAAAATTTAAAGATAAATTATTTACATTTCATTATATATGAAAATACACAGGAAAATGTTTTATACGAACACTCATTTTAAAAACTCATTAATTATAATTCATGTTAAATAAATTATATGTAAAAAAGAGAAAATCAAAATAAAATAGAATTAGGAAGATTTGTAACTTTCAATTTTTCAAATTTATAGTTTTATGGTTTAATAAGGAAAATTTAATGTGTTACAGTGCTAAATGAGAGAATGAAGATAGCACACCCCAACCTAACAAAAAACATGAAATAAGCAATCACAACATTAAAAAATAATAACAATATCATCATCAAGCAATAATCCATAAGCCAAAGAAGTGAGTGTGTTTAGCTTTCTATTCACCCGGTTTGAAAATGAACGGAAAAGGAATGAAATAATCCCGCTTAAAGCAATTGATTTTTCATAAAAAAAAAGTTTAAAGTTGCTGGTGTCTAATGTATGTGTGTATATATATATTAGGATAACCTTTAAAACAAAATTTTGAAAAAAATTTGCTTCTACCCCCTAAATGTGTTATATATAATACAAAAACAATAGGTTTAAAAAGAAAAAATTTTTGAAAAGAAAAATGTTTTAAGTGGTTATTTAAGACACTTTAACATTAGGCAGGTCCCAATTATTAAAAAAAAATCTTTAAAAGTATGTCAACCTCAAAAGAAGCGAAATTAAGTAAAAATGTGCTTATGTGCAGGTGATCTTCTGTCTTTTAAAGTAGTTAACTTAAGAATCTGTTATCTTGTTATTAATCAAATTGCAAATAATAATTGTTAATCAAAGTTAGTGCAAGATTTTCATAGTTTGATGTTGGAATCTTTCAATTTATTTTTTATTTGAATTACTTTACTATTATAAGAATCAAGTGGCTTTAAAAAATTTGGAACAAAATCTTGAGACGTTGACCAAACTTGGCACAAATTTATTGTTAGTTTCTTCTTATAATTTATAACTATAAAATTATAAATTTGAAAATTGCTTTATAGCATATCAAAAAAATAGCATATTACTGTTCAGTATTCAAGTTCACACAACAAACATGTGAGACATTTTCATACACACAAATATATATATATATATATATATATATATATATATATATATATATATATATATATATATATATATATATATATATATATATATATATATATATATATATATATTATGGTGGGTCATAAAATTTTTTTTTCTTGTTACAGGCTCTAAACATTGCTAATAGTTATTAATATTGATACTATCAAATATGAGAATGATTGTGATAGATTTAAAGGGTGCAACTTTATTGGGAAAATTACCGATACCCTAATATTTTAGAGAAAAAAAGTTTTTCAAAAATAGGTCAACCTGGTACTCAAAAGAAGCGAAATTTTATAAAAAATTCGAAAATAATAGACGTTTTATAAAAATCATATTGTTGAAAAATATTGTTATTTAAAAACATGTAAAAATGCACCTTTTTCACTTTTAGTTAAAAATAAAATCTAAAATAATAATTGTTATGTGAAAAAATTATTTTTTTTGAAATTTTTATAAAATTTCGCTTTATTTGAGTACCTACATCACATAATTTTGAAAAACTTTTTTTTTTGAATAATAATAGAGTCTGCTAATTTTTGTAATTATAGTTGCGGGTGGAAGACATTGTTTAATCTATAAAAGTAAACACTTTCCTAAATTAGTACATAAAAAAACAACTTTCTAGACCATAGCCAGGTTAGCAACTCTGAAAAAAAATTTTATGACCCACCCTAATATATATATATATATATATATATATATATATATATATATATATATATATATATATATATATATATATATATATATATATATATATATATATATATATATATATATTCACACAACCCTCCAAAGTAGGGTCGCCAATGCCTACCTAAAAGTATGTGAGGTTGGCAATTTATTGCTGATATCATTTCTCCTTATTCTGAGGGTTTTATATATATACAGCTTTCAAAAATTCAGCTTTTTTGGCCTCAGCAAACAAATGCAGAGGGCTTGACTGTATCTTGAGGAAAAAGTATCATTTACGTCGGCCTTTACCTTGACAACATTTTATTTTTTCAGGTACTCAAAGGCCTTGCGGTATTATTGGGGCATAAAATTTTGCGCGATATTCCTTGTTCAACCCACCTCAATTACCAAAAATTTAATATCATTGACCAAAAATTGTTAAAACACTTTTTGCCTCAAAACTTTTTTGCTGAGGCAAATTATCAAAATACTACAAAGCCCTCGGCATGTGCTGAGTACCATGGTTAATTTCAAACACTGTATATATATATATGTATATATATATATATATATATATATATATATATATATATATATATATATATATATATATATATATATATATATATATATATATATATATATATATATATAGACTATTGAATCAAAATAATTTGTTAAAATCCTTTTTGAACAGTTAATGTATAAGAGGCTAATAGTTAAAAATAATTTTTATGTAAAAAAATTCACTTTGACCTACAATAAATGCTTATCATATTGTTTTTGCTATCTTAAAAATATTTAGATATGGTTTTACAAAAAACTTCTACAATAGGGCCTAGCCCGTAAGGGTTAGTGTTATGGTCATCGAGCACGACTATTTTCCTAATCGCAATTACTGTCACCGCAAAAGAGGATGTTTGTCTGTGGAAGATGCCTGGGCTAGCTTTTTAGTCATAAGTCAGTTCTAAATCCATGCATAGGTGTTTAATCCATCTGGGGTATGGCTGGGCTGGCTTGGTTTAGTTCAGAGACAAATCTTTTAAGCTGGTTACTAACAATACAAGACTCTACTGAACGACATAAACAGCACAGACTTATGCATTACACCTATACACCCTTATGCACATACAGCCTGTTTACATCGTTTGTATGCTTTTTGTTTTTTCATAGATAAACTATCTTTGTTTGAACTCGTCCTTATTTAAATAATATTTTCTTTTAATAGATAATATGTGGTTGAAGCGTTGATATAGATTTTTATGTTATCTATATGTGTTTATCATGTGTGATTGAGTTTTTCATTTAAGGATTCATATGTGTATATATATATATATATATATATATATATATATATATATATATATATATATATATATATATATATATATATATATATATATATATATATATATATATATATATATATATATATATATATATATATAAATATAAGAGCGATTCTTATAAACTAGCGGCTTTCGACATGTTTTTATCATGTATGCTTTTCCTTGTTATTTTGTTATGGTCTCAAAATTAAATTTAATTCGGACCGTAGAGAAAACTTTAATTTTCGGAAATTTCGATTTAGATATGGTCTCAAAATTACTTTTAATTCGGACCGTAGAGGAAATATTACTTTTCAGAAATTTTGATTTAGATATGGTCTCAAAGTTTCTTTTAGTTAGAGAAAACTTCACTTTTTAATTATTTTTTTTTCCCGCTTTGTACATCGTTTTTACATCACGACTTATACCATTGTTTTATTATCCACGGCTAGTTTTTTAACCACTCATTTGGCTTAAAATTATCTGGTTTTATTGCAATATTTAGTAAGTCTTTTTGCAGTGTTTGTTGATATATTATTTATCTCCTGATTTTCATATTATTACTGTTTGTTGTATTCATTGCTCAGCTTTGTTTTAATTTTCACATGCACATTTTTATTATTATTCAGAGAATATTTTATATCCTTCATTAAATGTTTACATATATGCTGCTTACATTTTCAAGGTTTTTGTGCAACGTTTTTTTTCGCTATCATATATTTTTCAATTATTGTTATGATTATGGGTTTCGCGGGCTGCTCATTTTCCAACACTTTTGATTGGTTGTCCTATTTCGAATGAGGTATCTATGACAGTGTTAGAGTTTATTTAAGGCTATTGTTGTTTTGTTGATTAAAAAAAAAAAATTTTTTAATGAGGTATACTGCTTTCTGATTGATTATCTTAGGCTTGTTTATGCTAATAATACCTATTTGGTTTTATTTCTTAAAATAAATTTATGAATTTTTTTATGTTTCTATTAGAATTTTAATTTATTTTGTTCTCATGTTTTCTTTTGGTGATATGGTAAGTGTTTTATTTAGTTATTTTTGTTTGTTCAGTAAATCTACATTTTTGATATCATATCATCAAAAAAATATTGGTGCTTTACAAATTTGGGGTTGGTTGGGTTTTGGCTATTTGTAGTGAGTCCTTTTTTACTGCAGTATGGAATAGGCATAAGTCGCGGGGTAAAGCATAAGTGGCGATGATGTTTGTCTGACGGGATAAACTAGTTATAAATGCTGATTCTCATCGAAACGCCAGTAATAATAGACGCGACTCTGAGGAGATGTTTATTACTTAATCACTACTACACTAATTACAGTTTGTGATCACTTAATCACTACACTAATTACAGTTTGTGTTCACTTAATCACTACACAAATTATGTTTACACATTAGGATTAATGTTTTTTTTTCCATTATTAAATGCCTTTCATTGTTGTTATCAGATTTTTTATTTTGTGATCGGTTTTTTGTTTTATAAGTTTTTATCTGGTGATGTATAAATTCGTTCATATTGGTGTTTAGAAAACAATTTTTTTTTTTTTTTAGTTTATTTTTATTGTTATTATTGTTGTGGGTGTATAGCCTGTTTTATTTATTTTTACACATTCCTCTATTAATCTTTGTTTTTGTCTTGACAACTGTCAAAATATGCTTTGTCTAATAAATAATTCTCCTTTATTCTAATGTACTTTATTTCTTCCCTCAGGCGTTCACTGCTCGTGTGTGACCATTCAGCGAATTTTATATGCCAAAGTTTTTAAATAATGGTTTTTTGTTTTTTTTCTTAAAAAAACTTTTTTAATTAATCATTTTTAGTTTGGGTTTTGATCTTTTTTTTTATATCAATTTTTTTACTTGAATTTAAAAAGTTTGAATTTTTTTTACTTTGTTGTTTGGTTTATTTTACTTATATTCATTTTCATTTTGTGGCATTAAATAAGCTATGTGACTAATTTTTAAAGGGAATTGTTCCAAAAAATGCATATGGAAATGTTGAACTTTTTAAACCTTGTATGCTGCCAGAAGGTGCTGTTCACTTGCCAAGTAAAAAAAAATTTTGTTATTAAAGTATTTATTTATTTAGTATTTGTTTTAGGTTATAACTTTCTTATTACCTTTGTTTATTGAGCTTTTGCATCTTAAAAATTTAATGAAATTTCAGTTTAAATTTTCTTTTTAGAAAAAAAGGAAAAACAAAAATCCCCAAAAATGACATAAAATGCATTTTTCATGTCATAAATTTTGATATTTGGTTTGTGTTTTTCAGAGAACATTAATTACATCTGGACAACTACTTTATTTTTCTTCCTCTGTTAAAACTGTAAGGCTGCATATTGTTTAATAAATAAGTTCAACAAATTGTATTCATCAAGAAATTTTGCAATATAGTTAGATATAAATCTTAAAAGACATACTGTCTAGCATTTTATTGTTTTTGAGCACCACTATCTGATATTTACCTCTTTAATGTGTTTACCATCAAAATGTAAAGATTACCTTCTTCATTTCTTCAGCTGTAATTTCAGTTTCTACTCTCTACATCTCTCCTTTTTTTCACATAAACTAATTGTTTGATGTTGATTAAGTCATTAATTATAAATTACTATCATTATTTACTAATTAAATGTTAATTAGTAAATAATGAAAGTCTAGTTGACTTGAAGTTTGAAACTTTCTAAATATTTTGTAAAGTTCAAAACAGTTTTACAATGTGTCTACAATGTTTTAGATGGTTCTAGAAGTTATAAATAAATGTTGATAGTCTTGGAAGTTATAGAATATTTCAAAGTTATGAATGTTTTGATATCAATTTCTAAAACATTTTTGTGTTAGAGAAATTGCCAAATGTTCTACTATTTATGAAATATATAATTTAAATCTTGTAAAATTGATACTCCTAAATCTTTTTCCAACTCAGTAGTGCTAAGAAATTTAGTTTTAATGTTTAAATTCTAATTGCCTAAAAATATATTAATGTTTTGGAATTAGTTTGCCAATGTGCATAACTTTGCATTTATCTAATTTTAATTTCATCTCTCTTAATTTCAATCTCGGCTATCAATCTCTGCTTAACACCCCCTGCCTTGGGGCTCTTGGTTGAGTAAAGGCTAGAGATGGTGTCTCGATAAAAATACTCATCTTGGGCAGATGTTACATGCATCCAGCTGCTGTCTTGTAGAAGGCCTCCTAGGCAAAGACTTAAGGGGTAAACAGATTCTATCTGTTGACCAGCCTCGCACCCCTTCCTCATCTATTAGGCTGGCGCAGATGTATTTTTAATACATTGTTTCCAGTTTAGGATGTTGAACGCTGGATCTTCTTGACTCAATGCGTGGGTATTGCTTGTGTCTCTATTTTTATGACTGGGCAACTCATTCTATTATCTCCTAATGAGGGTACAGCTCTAAAACTCAGTTTTATGGTTCTGAGGCCGGCTGGTAGTCAGGTTTCCCGAACTCTGTGGTAGCTCTCAGAGAGGCTGATTCCATCAACAGCCGAAAAATATCCGAGTACTAACAGTGCCATGTTGCGCATGGATGGTGTCCCTGTTTGTACTTTTGGTGTGCATTGCAGAGGCCACATTTGGAGCCCTTTGTTACGGCTTAGGGTTTATTAATAGTAATGAGGCTATTGCTTAGTTGTTAAATAGTGTACTGAGTACTATCTATACTTGAGTCAAGTTCTTTATAAATTTAAAATGACTAAAGTACCTAAAACTAAAAAACACAAAAAACCATCGTCATCACCAAGTTCTCTAAACCTATCATTTACTAATATTCGTGGTCTTCGAAGTAACTTTTCTTCTGTTGAGTCTTCTTGCAAAGTTCACCAGACCTACTTGCTCTTTGTGAGACTAATTTGAGTTTGGCTGTCCCATCTTGTGATCTTAGTGTTGATGGTTATCTTCCTTTAATTCGTAAAGACTCCAATAATCACATGCTTGGCCTGGGCATCTACATTCGTAAGAACTCACCCATTTGTCGTGAAACTAGGTTTGAATCTACAGACTATTCATTTATGTGCTTTCGTTTAGCACAACTTCACTCTATCGCCTTTCTCTTTGTTCTATATCGCTCTCCTTCATCCCAAGATTGCACTATTCTTGATGTTATTTCTGATCAAATTGACCAAGCCCTCTCTCTTTATCCATTGGCCAATATCGTCGTTGTTGGTGACTTTAATGCCCATCACACCGATTGGCTTGGCTCTAGTGTCAGTGACTCTGCTGGCGTTAAGGCCCTCAACTTTTGCCTTTCTCAATCTCTAACTCAAATAGTCAACTTTCCAACTCGTTTTCCAGACAACCCTAATCATTTACCTTCTCTACTCGACTTATGTCTTGTTTTGGATCCTAGTCAGTGCTCAATTTCTCCACATTCACCCTTAGGTACTTCTGATCACGGTTTGATCTCTCTAAAACTATTATCAAATTCTTCTACTTCATCAGAATCCCCCTATCATCGTACCACATACAACTACCTTAAAGCTGACTGGGACTCTTTCCGTGATTTTCTTCGTGATGGCCCTTGGGTAGAAATCTTTCGTCTTCCTGCTGACAAATGTGCTTCTTACATAACTTCGTGGATTCAGGCTGGCATGGAATCTTTTATTTCCTCTCGACGATTCCAGGTCAAGCCTCACTCTTCTCCTTGGTTTTCCTCACATTGCGCTGCAGCAATTTCTAATCGAAACCGTTACTTCCATATCTATCAGCAAAACAATTCTCCAGAAAACAGACATCTGTTCACTATCGCCAGAAACCATTGTAAAAAGGTTTTGTCTGATGCCAAAGCTCGCTATTCCCAGGTCATTAATCTCGTATCTCATCACAAAAATTAGGCTCTCGAGACTTCTGGAGAATCTCTAACAGTATCAATAATAAGGGCAAATCTGTTATTCCTTCTCTCTTGTATGGTTCAGACTTTGTCACCTCACCTAAAGACAAAGCTGAATTGTTTGCTAAGAACTTTTCATCAATATCATCTCTTGATTCCACTAGTTGCGTTTTACCTGACATAGCCGTCAAACAGGTTGATCCCTTGCTTGACATTCGCATCACTTCAGCTTCTGTATCTAAAGTAATTTCCTGCTTAGACTCTTCAACAGCTTGTGGTCCTGACAACATTCCTGTTGTAGTTTTGCAGAGGTGTTCTCCGGAGCTTTCATCCATACTTTCTAAACTATTTAACAAGTGCTTATCAGAGTCTTGTTTTCCATCATGCTGGAAAGCAGCATCTGTTATCCCTATTTTCAAAAATTCCGGAGAGCGATCTGATTCATCTAACTACCGTCCCATTAGTCTTCTTCCTGTCATAAGCAAGGTTTTTGAATCTTTAATCAACAAACACTTAATCTCTCATCTTGAATCAAATAACTTACTTTCTGATCATCAATATGGATTTTGGTCTTCTCGTTCTACAGCTGATGTGCTAACAGTAATAACCGATAGGTTTTACCGTGCATTAGATAGAGGTGGAGAGGTTAAGGCTATCGCACTTGACATTTCTAAAGCTTTTGATAAAGTTTGGCATGCTGGTCTTCTCCATAAGCTTTCTTCTTATGGTGTAGCTGGTAACTTCTTTAAGATTATTGAGTCCTTTCTTTCCAATCGTAGTATAAAAGTTGTCCTCGATGGACAACACTCTTCTTCACATCCTGTAACTTCAGGGGTTCCTCAAGGTTCAATCCTTGGCCCTATACTCTTTTTAATTTACATTAACGATCTTCCAGATATTCTCACATCTAAGGTGGCATTATTCGCTAACGACACTATTATTTACTCTTGTCATGATAAGAAGCCTACACTCTCTGATTGCTTGGAGGGGGTATCTGAGCTTAAAAAGGATCTCACTTCTGCTACAGCATGGGGCTCACAGTGGCTGGTGAACTTTAATTCAGATAAAACTCAATTTTATTCGGCCAATCGTTATCGTAATAATTTAGATCTTCCTATATTTATGAATGGTAATGTACTAGATGAGTCATCTACCATTCATCTTCTAGGATTAACTCTTGCTTCCGATCTTTCTTGGAAACCATATATCAAATTCGTTGCAAAATTAGCATCTGCTAAGGTTGCATCTCTTTATCGAGCTCGACACTTTCTTACTCCAGATTCTATTCTCTATCTCTATAAATCTCAAATCCGTCCCTGTATGGAATACTGTTGCCACATCTGGGGCAGATCTTCTAATGATGCTCTTTCTCTTTTAGACAAGGTGCAAAAACGAATTGTAAACATAGTTGGACCTGCTCTGGCAGCCAATCTCCAACCTTTGTCACATCGTCGTAATGTTGCTTCTCTTTCTCTTTTCTACAAATACTATAATGGGCACTGCTCTAAAGAGCTAGCGTCCCTTGTGCCATCTGCTAAAATTCATTCTCGTGTTACTCGCCATTCAATTAAGTCTCATCCTTTTTCTGTGACTGTTCCTAAGTGCTTCAAAAACTCTTATTCTTCTAGTTTTTTTCCTTGAACATCAGCTCTTTGGAATTCGCTTCCTTCATCTTGCTTTCCTGATTCATATAATTTGCAATCTTTTAAGTCATCAGTCAATCGTTATCTTGCTCTACAGATTTAGTCTTTTCTCTTCCAGTAACTTCCAACTCTTATAGTGGTTGCTTGCAGCCTTGTTGGAAGTGAAGATGTTAAAAAAAAAAAAAAATAGGATTCTTTTTTTTCCACAAAAAAAAAAAGTTTTGATTTCCTAACCTTAATATATAGATGTTATATTATGTTAATATTAAAAAAATGATAATTTTAATTATAATGAGTTGACTAATTATTTTGCTTTATAAATATACCAGAAAAGTTTATTGTCATATCAAAAGCATCACACTATACATGTATTTTGTGCTATAATCAAACATTCACTACAATTTTTTAAGCTCTGTCCTTAAAGTCCTCATAACTTGTAATCATAACCATAACTGGTATAACCATATAAAGTACAAAAAGCGTATAAAGTATACAAGAAGCATATAAAGAATGCAAGAAGCATATAAAGAATAAAATATTTTTATTATTACAAGAAGTATACCATATTTAAGTAGTTGCATAAATACAAATAAATGTGGATTGTGTAAAGATACTATTATTAAACATTAAAATAATTAAATTTATTACTATTAATTTATAATAATTCTTTTGTTATATTTTGATCTAAAATTATTTATTTCATTAGTTGTTTGTATTTGCATTGATGGCATCTCAATAAAAAATGATTTCTTAATAAAAAGATTTAAACAGATACTAGATGTAGCTACTGTGGTGAGGGATAAAACAATTTCTGAAAGAAAATTTTTATTAATCAGCCTTCTTCATCTAATAATCTGGCTTTGATGTAAACCAGTGTTACATTGTTTTCTAGCTAAGATAGTAAATGTTGAATCTTGGCTCATGGATTTTAGCTTGTGTAGGCTGATTTCTAAAACTTAGTTTAATAGTTCTGAGTGATAATTTTGTGATAGCTCTCAGACACTAAATGCTGAAACTTTTGGTAGAATAAACTATCCAATCACAATATTTTATGCCTATTTACTTGACTTCTGAAAAATATTTCTTATGTAGCAGTTCACAGATTTCCTGTATGTCACAGTATTCAGATCTTGAAAAGTCAATTTTTTTAGTAATTATTTTTAATCATTTAATATTATGTAGTCCATTATAATCCCACTCTAACTCCAGTCTGCAGGATCATTAAGAAAGCCAGGTAGAATGGTGGGGATCGAGTTTGATCCTATAGTGGGGATTGAGTTTGATCTGATGGTGGGGACAAGTTCGATCCCCAGTTATAGAGAGGGTTGTAACCACAATTATCCTCATTGTAGTGGTCTTCTCCGCCTTGAGGAGGTGAGTTAACATCAAAAAAATTATAATTGATAAACATTAAAAACATATTTAATTAGTTTATCAATATCCATGTTTATTTTTAAGGTTTTGTGCAAAATATGTTACCTTTCAAAAATTATCCTTAAAAAAGTTTATACATTTGCATCCATAAGAAGAACCTGCTTTTCTTTTTACTTGTCTTTTATCTTCCTTTTTGTTCCTATTTATTTTATACGATGCAACTTTTGCACTTCATTTTTGTCATAATAATTAAAATTATTTTAAAACAAATGAATCCAATCAAGACAATTTTTTGAATCCGATGAAGACAAATTGCGCTGAGGCTATTGCTTTTGGCATGTAAGAACTTTTGATAAAGTTTGGCAAGCTAGCTTTCTCTGTGTGTTCTATTCTTTTTGTGTTTCTAGGAAAAGTTTTTTTGAAATTATTGAGTCATAAATAACTTTTTGACCAATCTAATTTAAACATACTTGTTTTATTCCCAGTATTATTGACAGATCTGGTTGTTTCCTTACCTGCTGCAAACAACCTTTAAAAAATTTATTAAAAATTATTACTTTGTTACTAAACATTTCACAAAAGATTTTACAAAATGTGTCACACTCCCCTACCGACATTTGTTTTTAAAAGTTACGTTCTAAATGTCTTTTAAATTTTTTTTAAATGTCTTTTAAACGTTCTATATTTATTTATTTATTATATTTATATTTATTTATTATGCATGCCTACTAAGCATCATTTGTAAACATTTTTTATCTTTTCATCATAAAGCTGGTAACACAGCCATATCAGATGATATAAGACATCATCGATTCTTATAATCAACTCAACAATTCTTATATCAACAATTCTAATCAACTTAACAATTTTCAACTTTTTTTGATCAAATATGCAAAACTTTATAAGATCATAATTTTTTTTATCATTTTTATGTAACAAAATTCAAAATGATCGATCTTGTTCATAGACAATCAAGTACTGCATTGCAACTGATACAAGAATTCAGTAGTTTATATAGTTTTTGGCATCACTATTGTTGAGAAAATTTGTCTGATCTTCAGTAAAATGTTTTGACTGGATGAGGATGGGTTGCAATGGGGGAATTCATTGAGTTAGTGATTTTTTTTTTTTTTTTGTCTATGCTTGCAGAAAAAGCAACAAGTTTAATGATTATAATTTGATAAACTATTAAATAATAGAAAAATGTGATAAATTTCCAGAAAATTTTCAATAACATATATCTTTAATATTACTTTATTTACTGCACTTGTATAATAAGTGTATTATTGAATGGTGAGTAACACGAAAATAAGTTTTAGTAGATGGCGCAAAAGATGCTACCTCTTTAGAGCAGTGCCTGTTATAGTATTTATAAGAAAGAGAAAAAGAAGCAGTATTACAATGATGTGACAATGTTTGAAGGTCGGCTGCAAGTGCAGGTCCAATTATGTTTACAATGCCTTTTTGCACTTTGTCTAAAAGAGAAAGAGCATCATTCAAAGATCCACTCTAGATATGGAAACAGTATTCCATACAAGGACGGATTAGAGATTTATAAAGATAAAGAATATAATCCTGAGTAAGCAAGTGGTGAGCATGATAAAAAGATGCAACCTTAGTAAGTGTTAGTTTATGGTTTCCAAAATAAAATTGGAAGTAAGAGTTAATTCTAGAAGTGAAAGGGTAGATCACTAATCTAATACATTACCATTCATAAATATCAGATCTAGATTATTGTGATAAGGGTTAGCTGAAAAAAAAGTTTTATTTGAATTAAAGTTCACCAGTCACTGTAAGCTCTATTAGGGCTTGTCAACTGGTGGAAACTGCAACCGGTTAACCGGTTTTTTGTTTAGTTTTCTCAAAACTTTTTTTAAAAATAACCGGTCGTTATTACTAAATAGTTAAATAGTTTAAAGGTCTTTTGTTTTGAAAAGTGAAAAGTGAAGTTTTACTAAAAAGTAACATGGAAAGCACAAATATCATGAAAATATATATAATTTTAAAAAAAACACCTTGGTATTGCATTTAGTTTTATTTAAATATTTTTTTTACCAATTATTATTAGGTTACATGCTGACAGAATCTTTCAACAATTTTTAGTTAATTAAAATAATCAAAGCAAAAATAATTAAAATAGTCAAACTAAAGTCAACTTTTTTATATTTTAGTTTGTTGTTTCGTTGTTTTTTTTTGTTTAATTTTTTGTTATTGTTGTTTAATTATTTTAGATGTTAAATCTCAAAATATTGCACTCCGTCTTTGAAATAAAATAGTATTACCAAATTTTGATCATTCTTTTACTCTTCCTGTTTTAAAACTAAATTTAAAAAAAGTTTTCTCTACGGACATTACAAGCATTATAAAATTCTCATAGCATTATAAAATTTCTGCTAAAAACGTATGTAAGATGTATTTGTTAAATCTTCAGCATACTATATATTGATATGTTTGTATGTTGTATCTTTACATTATGTTCAATATATCTATATATTACATATAAATGTATCTATATATTACAGATAAATATGTCTAATTTTTAAGGTTCTGATGATAAGATCCTTATGATTTTCTTTCCTAAACCTAGCTTTACATTGATAGTACGCTAAATTGTTTATTTTTTTTAAAAAGACTTTTATGTTATTCTGTATTATGACTGTCATTGTAAAATGAAAAAAAAAATAAAAAAAAAATAAACAACAAAAACAAATTTGTTTTTGTAATTTTGACTTTCGTTTTACTCTAAATATTTTAAATAGTAGTATATTTTTACATTACACTTTTGTAAACAGATCACATGCATAATTTTTAGTTAAAAGTAGCATATTCAGTTATAAATAGTATTTTAAAATTATAGCTAGCCGATTTCCCACTGGAAAAGTAAAAAGCTAGCTATAGTTGTAATGATAAAGACAGCGATTTGGCCTTGAGGATTGATATATCAAAATATCGATATTGGAATACCGATAGCTTTTTTAAGCAAAAAGCTATCGATATTTGTAAAGATAAAAACAGCGATTTGGCTATGAGGATAGCTAGCTTAATTAGCTATAAACCTACTGGCTTTTGTAGCTGCATTTTACTGTAATTAAATTGCTGTCTAAAAAATTTTGGTATGTAGCTATCAATAAGCTATAGATTCATAAATATTTTTTAGCTAGCTACAAAGTTACAATATGTAGCTAGCGACACATTGCTACAAAATCTCAATGTTTAAAGTTTAATTATACTCATAATTGTAATAGGTCAACACTAAAAATCGAATTTTTATAGATGTTAAGACATTAGGACAAAATAAAATAAGAAAAAAAAATTGCTTGAAAATCACTATAAAGCTAGTAGTCGCTAGCTCCTTTTCCACTGGGTAAATTTGAACTAAATTAATAATGAATAAAAAAAGATGTAAATATCACTGTACATGGATAAAAATTAATGTTAAAAAATTAATAAAAAAAATTAAATTTTTTATTATAATTATGAAAAACTTTCTTAAGTATGAAAACTTTATTTTAGTTTCCAGATCTAATTCCAGTTCTGTTGAAATTCCAGAAATCAGTTCTGTACGTTATATTTGATTTATACGGCAATAATAAAAAATTTATTTTTATTATTGCTGTATAATTCAAATGTTGTGAATACATAAATGAATTACTTTTTCTTTTTTCATTTTGTGCAATTGTGTGCTTGCATTTTGATCATGTGTTCGTGTTGCTTAACTTTTTTGTTAAAAAAATAAGAAAAACTTAAAACCAAATATAAGTATTGTGAACTTTTAAAGTATTCATCTTTTTTTATTTATTTTTTTATTAAAACCTGTGAATTTAAAATTAAAATTAAATAAAAATGATTGAGTCTAGCTAGAATAAAAAATCGTTGTAAGTTATTTGTTATTAGTAAGTTATTATATCAGTTTTTTGATTTAAACGGCCAATATATACTTTATGATTTAAGTGGCCAACATGCAGAAGATAGCAAGAAAGCTGAAAGTTGATCATGCTCCAGCAATGATGGGTTGGGATTTTCATGGTGGCTTTTCACACCCTGTGTATGTTTTATTTAAATAAAGTTGTTTTTAATTTGTTTCTCTAGCAATTATTCTGTAGAAAAATTTTTATTAATCAAAAAAAAAATTAGTTATGAAGGAATTGTGGTTGCAAAAGAACACGAAGACCTGCTATTAGATGCTTGGAGAAGAGAAGAAGAGTTATTGGAAAAAAAAGAAAAAGAGGTTCTAATTTTTAAACATAGTTTTAATTTTTTTAAACAGATTTTAATTTTTAAACAGCTTGAAGTATTTTTTGTGTTATCATTTTTTTATTTACAACAGCTTTAACAAAGTTTGTATATAAATTTCATAGAAGAAAAACTTAACACAAAAAGCTTCTCATACTTGGCTTCAGATAAAACTTAAAAAAAAAAAAAAATCTCTTAAAATAAAATCTAGATTTTTATAGACAAAGTATACATTTAAAAGCGGTGACCCCCCAAAGTCTAGTATTTAAACAGTGGAATCTAGATCTAAGTGATAGTACAAATCTTGTTTTAGTATATATCTAAATAAAATGCCAAGGCAAAAACAAACCAAGTTTTTTTTTGAGTTTTCAAAACAAGAAAGGCTTAATCTAGCCTTGGGTCTGTGTGTGTGTTTATATATATATATATATATATATATATATATATATATATATATATATATATATATATATATATATATATATATATATATATATATTTTATTTTATTTAAAAACATTTTATTATTAAAGACATGTTTCGACTATATATAGTCATCATCAGTTTAAATATATTTGTTAAAAACGGTATAAAGTATAGTATATGATTGTAAAAATAAACATAATAAAGGCCATAAAATTGTAAACAAACTTCCTATATATACAAAAAGATTTATTAAAATTATTTTAACAAATGTCAAATATAACAAAAGAAACCGGTAAATCATATTAAATTATAAAAGTCATTTTAACATGGTTTACTTTTTTATTCATATCGGGTTTTTCCCATCCTATATGAATGCTTTCTTTAATTTTTAATTCAATTTTGTTTTAAGCACGATCCAAAATTGAAAAGCATTCATTATTATAATTTTTAAAACATTTTTCTTTTGAGTGAAGATTTTTATAAATAAGAGTTTTTATCCCTTCTGTAGTGTTCAATCACTCGCATCTTTAGGTGGCAAGAGGTTTCGCCAATATAACAGGATTTACATCCTGCTCAAACAAATTTGTAGGCGACGAATGATTTCAAATTTACATGAACGTGATCTTTAGATGATAACAAATTAGACGCTTTTAACGAAGTGAATACTAATTTTATGGTAACTGACTTACAATATATATATATATATATATTAGGTTGTCCCAAAAAACAACATTTTTGATAATAATCTGCTCCCACCCCCTTAATGATTTCTATCTAATACAAAATCACTAGGTTTTTTTTTTGAATAAAAAATATTTTAAGGGGTTCCCCAAGACCCTCGACCCATTAAATATTCGAGGATATTTAATGGGTCCCTAATATTTAAAAAAAAAAAAAAAATTTCTTTAAATATGTCAACCTGGTACTCAAATGAAGTGAAATTATATAAACATTTCAAAAATAATATCCATTTCAAAAAAAAAACTGTTAATTTTAGTATTACATAAAAAATTGGGTTTTTTAACAAAAAATTAAAAAAATGCATTTTTTATGTTTTTTTATAATAATTTTAATAAATAAGCTAAAAAAATTTTCGGAATGAATATTGTATTTGAAATTTTTATATAATTTTGCTTCATTTGAGTACCAGGTTGAAATATTTTTGAAAAACTTTTTTTTTGAAAATATTAGGGATCCATTAAATATTCAAGGGTCTTGGCGGACCCCTTAAAATATTTTTTATTCAAAAAAAAATGTAAGCCTAGTGTTTTCGTATTTGATTAAACACATTTAGGGGGTTTTTCTCAAAAAAGTTGTTTTAAGAACCACCTTATATATATATATATATATATATATATATATATATATATATATATATATATATATATATATATATATATATATATATATATATATATATATACACATATATATATATATATATATATATATATATATATATATATATATATATATATATATATAATATATATATATATATATATATATTTATATATATATATAAAATCTGATGTGTATTCATTAATGATGCAGTATGGTAGTTTATTACTTTTTTAATTAGATTTATAAAATTTATTATATAAATAAAAATGTTAATTGAAGAAAAATTATTGAGATGTCATCATTTGCAATGGCTCATAGATATTTCAAGTTTAGTTGTAGAAAAAGTACCATTACAGATTTTCTGATAAAGAATAAAGATACAGGAGAACAAAAACAGAAACAAAACAGTCAATCTGGATCAGGAAGAAAGAAGGAAAAATACAAAAAGGGAAGGAAAATGCATTATCCGAGCTGCCTTTACAAATCACCAAATTTTTTGTTAACATGAGAGCAAAAATCAGGAAGCCTCTTCTAACAAATGTCAACATTGTGCAAAGCCTTAAATAATGCAGTGCAAATAAAGGCTAGACTATTTACAATGAAGATAAGTTGTTTGGTCAGATGAATAGCTTTTGATCCGAAATTCCAAGTTTAGAGACTTAATAATAAAAATTATTAACCTGAGTGCTTGTTGATAGGGTGCCCCAGAGAATTGCAGTCCTTGCTACAAAAGGTCTGGTGACCAAGTACTAATAGTAAGTACTTTAAGATCTAAAATACTGACTCTAATTCAGACAATCTTTCAGGGAATGAAGAAGAATAAATAAAAAAGGAAACATTTTTACTATAGTACTTTTCTTTTATATCTGGCTACTGCAAAGCCAATCCCTTAGTAAATTTATATACTAAAGCCCCCATAGTTAGCTGTCTCAGAATGATATCTTACATATAAGGTCCGAAATAAATAGTGGCTAAAGACATAGCATTTTTGCAGTTAAATTTTTTTTGGCAATTATGGAGCATTATATCAGATCTTAATAGTTTTTTATTATTGAATCTTTCTTGTGTGATTTTTTTGTTTTACATGCTCTTATATGTTTTCACTTGGGTTCAGGACTAATTAGTGTCAGGGTTATTGCAATGCATCTATTTTTCCAGTTTCATACAGGGCAGAATAATTAATATAATTCCAAAATACAGTTTGAAAGAAACTTTTAGTTTGGTCTATGATAAACCAATTCTGTTTTGTTCATCAATCCTTAAATGGTTTGATTGATGATTTGGTCTAGAATGTTTACTTAAATGGATTGATGGTTTATTTTATGTATCTTAAAATGTTTACTTTAAAATAGTTTGATCAATAGTTATATAATTTTCCAAAAAAAAAAACCTTAAGAAACGTTTAAATATATTTTTTAATGAAAAATGATTGCTAATCTGAGCTTCAACCTTCTTCATATCAGAAGTGAGTTTTGGTTAAAAAATGGTTGATTATACATCAACCCCTTTTTTATCAGCATTTTACCAATTGATTAGTCCAAAACAACAACATAGCTTCATGGATTAGTTTAGTTGAAAGTCTGATCTTAGTTTTCTAAACAGATGTTTTAGATGATATTTTTCAGTTTAAAAGTTGGTCTCCTAATTATTTTTCAGTTTAAAACTTGGTCTCCTAATTTTTTTACCTTCATATGGTTTGGTTAGGAATATGTACAAATTAGGCAATAGTTTGCTGATATTTTAGTATAAATTATTAAATATATAAATGTAATAACTTAACTATTTAAGAGGTTATTTGAAAAAAATGTTAAATTTTTAAGTTTATCCTTACTGACCACAGGGATACCAGTGTCCCATGCCAGAAAGCATATTTGAAATTTTTTTCCATAACAATTTTTTTTATTATAAGTCACCTATATCTAATAATTTAAGAATACTTTCAACATAAAAAATGGGTTCAATTTCTTTTGGGCCCTCATAGGGTTAAATGAATTGTGTAATTTAAATCCTGCAAAAATGCGGATCCTGCATTAATTAATGCGGGATCTTGAATGATCTAAAACAACACAGGATTGCTATCTGATCTCTACCCGTTATATATACTAAGCATATTAATTCTTAAAACAGGTTTACTACAGAAAGTTATGAATTTGTTTATTAGGAAATATGGGTTAGTAATAATGATAATAATTGCAATATAGGTTATTGGGATAGTAAGGTTGATGGTAAATTTTCATGTAAGTTAATTGGTCAAAACTATTTGACAACCTTATAAATAGCTAGTATGAAAGTAAATAAAAAGAAAAATTTTAAGTTTAGTTTTATATAATTTAATGTAGGATCGTTAAGAAATTATTTTTATACAAAGTCACGTTCATCCTCCCCAGTGATGAACAAGGCTGCTGCCGGAATAAACAAGTTGAGTGCAATACTACCAGGAGCATGGTGGGGATCGAACTTTTAGGGTTGGTTATGGAAGGTTTAGGGTTGTATAGTTTAATGTAGAATCATTAAGAAATAAATATTATGTAAACACTGGACATTTTAGAAATTCAAAATTTAGAAAAACAGGTAGGAAGTTGTATAATAAAAATAGCAAAACTTTCAGATTTAAAAAAGATATTTGTAAAGTATAAAATGAAGTAAAAATAAAGACAAAAAGAAAACAATAATCTAAAAAAAGGAACGATAAAGCAAAATCATATATGCTTAAAGGTATATTAGTTTATATGCGTGAAGGTATATGAATTTGTATGCGTGAAGGTAAATTAGTTTGTATGCATGAGGGTATAAGAATTTATAGGCATGAAAGTATATGCATTTATATGCATGAGAGTATATGAGTTTATCTGAACATATTTTATTAGAGCAAATTTGTGATTCTAAGCTAAATTATTTATTTTCATTATAATTTTCTATTTTTTTAGCTTGTTAATTATTAAATTTATTTTTAAGGATTTTCTTATATCTCTTGTGTATTGATAGAGTGCAATGTTTTTTGAGAAGTATTAGTGTCTTGTTACTCTTGACATCAATAGTATTTGGTAAAATTTAGTTCTTTTTTTTTTTTTTTTTCCTTCGGAGGAATTTTTTTCAGCTTTTTAAGTTTAGAATTTTTTTCGGAAAACCTTCCATTTTAGTATTCCTTGGTTTTATGCTCCCAATGTTCTTTAATAAACTATTTTCTTTTTTAAACTTCAATGTTCTTTAATAATTTCAATGAGGTTTTAGGTTTTATATTTTGAGTAAAAAAGTAATCATTAGTGAAGAGTATATTGTTAAATTATTGGTGAAAATATGAGTTTTTAATCATCAATGATTTAGGTTTTTCTTTCTGCTGATCATAAATGTTCTATGATTGTTTATGGTTTGTAACATAAGCAGTGTGACCTGAGATTGCTCAGTGGCTGGTAAATTTAAACTTGAACACAAGATTTCACTATTGTAAAATATAATATGAAAATGAACAGCTAATAATATGTTTTTTAACAAAGAACTGTTTAGAATGTATGAAATTAGATTTAAATTATAGAATTATATTATAAAATCAAACTAGTAATTTTGTTAGGTAGGTTGTTATTATATTATGTATTAAGTAAAGTATTAAATTATTATTAGATTTTGAATTTGACAACCTATTTAATAAAATAAGGGTAAGTAAATAAATAAAAATATAAGTATAATGCAGAAATACAATTTTTTTGTGTTGATATATGCATTGGTAAAATATAAGACTTTTTTTTATCTTTTAGAAACGTGAGAAAGTTATTTATGAAAACTGGAGAACATTGATCAAAGGACTTCTCATACAAAATAAACTCAAGTTAAAATACAAATTTGTGAGTTATTTTTTTTTATACACAGTTATGCAGTGTGAAGATTTTAAACTTGTATTATAAAATGTGTTTTAATGCTTGTATGTTTTAATACTATAATAAACGTTTAAATTTTTATTGAAGTAATTATTAAAATACTCTATGAGATTTAATAAATTCGCAAGACAAAAACTTTTTTTCTTATTTATTAACACTCTGTGTGTTTTATTGAAATGTTTACCTGTAACATTTACCTGTAGCATTTTAATTACTTTTTTTTGTTTTTTTGTAATTACATTACAGCTAAATTCCATTCTCTGAATCATCTGTTTTAAAACTGCAATTAATGACAATTACAATGGAACTTTTTTTCTTTAATTGGGATTTTTGTAGTTATATCTTTTTTTGAAATCATTAGTTATGCTACATAGAATTTGCTTTTGATGGTTTTTCCTTTCACAAGAAAGTTATAAATAAACTACGCAAACTTTATTATTAACAATTGAGTTTTAGAGGGGCTCTGGGTAAAACAAATCAAAAAAATAGAATGTTTATAAATTATGAGGTTTAAGTGAGCAACAAAAATCGTCTGACATAAAATTGAATGCAGAAAATAGCCTCTCTACACTTACTTGTGAGATAGTCATACAAGTGGCTACTCTGCACATATCTGTATCTTTTTTGGGTATTCTTCATTTCTTTCAAAAGCTGATTTACATTTAAACATTCTATTTCTTTCTTATTATTAATTATAATTTGAAATTCTTCATCGGAAATATATTCACTTAAAACTAAATGAAGTGCTGAAGATGGTTCAGCTGTAATCCTCATTTCTTGACTTTTATATATTTGGTTTCTTTTTTATAAGTTTGATCTGCTGTTTCTTTTAAGTCTTGTTTTGCTCATATTATCTGGGTTTTTTTCTGACAGTATTCTACATCTAGCATTTACATCTAGCATTAACAACAACTGCTTGAAATATATTATAAATTTTTTAGTTTCATTGGATCTTTTTTTAAAAGTTGGTTAATAGTAAAGGTAAAAAGTTGGGTAATTTCTTTTAAAGTATCAAGAAGCTAGCTGCAAAGTACAATACAAAGAATAACAAAGCACATCAGCTCAATGTTGTTAGACAATTATAAAACTTTAAATGACAGTGATTTTTTAATAATATTTTAATTGAAATAAATTTAAAATTTTTATATAACACAATAAAATAAAAAATAACAAAATATAGTATATAGAATTTTTTTTTACAAAAGTTAATTAAACTTTGATATTTCAAAATGTAGCAGAACGGAGCTAGCTCAGAGCCAGCTCCACCTGCAAAATTTTAGCTCCAGTTCTGGCTCAGATCCTTGTAGACCAGCTCCAGATAGCTCTGACTCCAGCTTCAGAGCAGCTCCAAAACTCTGATAATAATAATAATAATAACAATAATAATAATAATATATAATCTAGTGAATTATTATTATTATTATTAATGAGATCAACTTCATATTGTGTTATAGTCTATATGATTTATTGATAGTGAGGCTGACTTCATTTTGTTCTTAGTGATTTATTGATAGTGAGGCTGACTTCATGTTGTCTTAAAATTGTAGTGATTTGTTAATCAAAGTTAAAAAAATAAAGTTTGTATTTTTTAATCAAAATTGAATGTTTAAAAATATTGAATGTTTTAATTTTTTAGAAATGAGTATATCAAGTTATCTTTACATTAACATGCATTATTTGATTTGCAGTATATTGTAATAAACATATGTTAGTATAGTTTGGTTATAAAAAGCTTCTTTATGTTATGTAGCCTTTTCTGCAATTTTCTAATCACATTAGTATAAGTTGTTGTTGATAATGTTTCTTTTTTTCCATTTTGTTTATGGGGTAACTTAAGATTTCAATTTAAGTTCATATTTTTTTCTTAAAGATCTTTCTAATTGGAAAACTTCTTTAGAAGATACTAATAGAGCACAAAAATAAAAGATATCTTATTCTTGATGAAAAATATATCAATAAAGATATATAAATATATCGCAAAGAGTTTTTTATAATTTGGTTTGTAGTAAATTTATTTTGCATTAGGTTTGCTTTGCAGTAAATTTGGTTTGCATTAAATAACAAAAAAATTTAACAAAAACTTTAATTTTAAATAATTTAATTTTAAATAGACATTAGTTTCACATTTTGTTATTGGAAGTCAAATTTTGTATTATCCCAGTGGAAAATTGGTTAGCGAATAGCTAGCTATAATCGTAACGATAAAGACAGTGATTTGGCTACGAGGACAGCTAGCTTTTTTAAGTTATCGATGTTTGTAAAAAATCTATATATTTGTTAGTTTATTTATAAAAAATCTATCGATATTAGCTAGCTGAAAAAGCTAAACACCCACTGGCTATTGTAGCTAGCATTATATCGTAAAATCTGTAAAAAAAAATTTGATATGTAGCTATCAACGAGCTATAGAATTGTAGATATTTCGTAGCTAACTACAAAGCTACGATATGTAGCTAGCAACACATTGCTACAAAATCGCAATGTTTAAAGTTCAATTATTCTCATAATTATAATAGACTCAACACTAAAAATCAAATTTTTAAGGATGTTAAAGATGTTCAGAAAAAAATAAAATAAGAAGAACAAAATCGCTTGAAAATCGCTATAAAGCTAGCTAGGCGCTAGCTAATTTCCCAACGGGATAATGCTAGTGTATATTAATGCGTAGTTTCCTGATTAAAATTTTATTTTATAAACCTTTTAAGAGTCTAGGATCAAATTACTATACTTTTTATAATATTTATATATATTACTTATTTATTTTATTCTTTTAAAAGGAAGACGATGAGTCTGCTGTTAAGAAACAAGTCAATGTTAAGAAGCAACAAACCAAAAGTTCAAAGAGTAAAAAAAGTGAAGCTACTACTAATGATGATTATACAGACCTATCTGTTTCATGGCCAATGAACAGGATGAGTTAGTTTTTACTTATTTTACTTTTTACTTTTTTTTTTAATACGATTTAAAACAAATTTTTATTTTAGCTATATATTTTAACAAAAATAATTTTATTATTTTTGTTATTATAATTATCATTATTTAAAAGATCAGAAAATATGGTTTCTCTTAATACTAATAATTTTTATTTTTGAAATTTTTGCTGGATTATAGATAGCAGCATCATTAACTTGTTACAATAATTTTAATCGTAACAAGTTAATGATGCTGCTATCTATAATCCAGCAAATGTTCTGTGTTCTGAGCCAGACCTTTAACTACTGCGCAACGGCTGCTCATCTTTGAAACTATTGAATAAACGAAATGAGCTTGTATCAAAATGCCGCTATGAAAATTTTTTATCTGCAACTTTAACGTATGTAACCTAACACTGTATTGCATTTTTGTATATAATTTTTTTGTCGTTACGATTGTTTGTAACGTCTGATCATGTTTCAAATTCAATTGCAGTTATTTAAATAATATATATATATATATATATATATATATATATATATATATATATATATATATATATATATATATATATATATATTATATTTATATTCATTTTTTTTTTTTTTTATTTAACCATATTAATAAAATTTACAAATTTCATCGTAAGCTGATATAAATTGGTTAGGTGTCACTCATATAGTTACAATCTAGTCAATGGAGTGACACACACACACACATATATATATATATATATATATATATATATATATATATATATATATATATATATATATATATATATATATATATATATATATTTATATATATATATTTATATTTATATATATATATTTTTATATTTATATATATAAATATATTTATTCTTTTATAGCGGGGATAAGTTCTTTACAAGATGAAGGACATACCCATGTATTTAAAGAGTGTTCAAATAGTTTAAATAAAGGTGTAAAAACATGTTCATGCGGATTGGCAATATCAAGCGATAAGGTTGAAGATCTCTAATGCTAGTAATAATCTACAATCGGAGACTTCAAAGAGGCGTCAAAAGTGCAATATGGCAGATAAACGATAAATTTGTACGTCAAAATAACGATCAACAAATGGTTGTCACTTGTGTCAAAAATCATTTTGAGTTGCGCGTATGAAAGTTTTAAAGACGTATGCAGGAAAATTTTCAAAGGCGTATGCTGGAGAACTTAGTTCTATAAGGATGTATAAGGGAGAATTATGAAGGACATTTGGTTAAAAATGCTAATAACAGTGTATATTTGTTTTTACTTTTTATGTTATTTTTGTTAGTATTTATTTGGTTGTAATAATATGTATATATATACTGCTATACGCCTTAACACAATAACTTAAAAAACATTTTGCCTGCAACTGATTCACAAGGGTGTTGTAGAATTTTTCCTCAACCACAAGGGCATTTTAGGATTTCCCTTCAACCATATGAGTGCAGTAAAGTTTTTACTCAACCACAAGGGTGTTGTAGAATTTCTTCTCTACTTATAATTCAAAAAATTTAAATTTAAAAAGTTTATATTTCATTATTTAATTTCAGAATTTATTTTTTAAACTTATTTAACAATAAAATTCCAATAGGTCGGGTGAATAAAGTAAAGCAATTGCTTTTAGAGTTTTTAGAGTAATTGTTTAGCATTACGTGAATACAAATTTGATCAAAATCGCTCAAATTTTATTCACGTAATGTTAACCAATTTACCACACAAACGCTGAGTAATTGCTCAGCCTTATGTGCATAAAAATTTAACCAAAATTGCTGAAGTTTGTATTTATATAAAGTTGACCGATAACTGAGTAAAAGCAATTGCTTTTTTTTATTCACCCGGTCTAATTTTTTTTATTCACCCTAGTTAGTAATTAGTCAGTTGTACTTTGTACAATTAGTCAGTTGTACTTTGTTTTGGTTTGGTATTTCTCCGTTGAACTGAAACCTCAAAAACACCACTCTTTAACGTCATGTAGCAAATAAAATCATTTATTACCATTAAAATGCACAGTTTTTGTTTATTACTACAGAGCTACTAATTTATACTTAAATAATATTGAGCTATTAGTTATTTCAGACAAAATAGTAAACGACTTCATACCTAGTACCCAGTAATATACTACTTCATACCTATGTAGTATGAAGTAGTATATTATATACGGTTAAAAAAGTTGATAAGGACTCCAAAACGTTTAATGAAAAATTTTTAATTTAAATTATTTTAACTAACTGTTAAAAGTTTAAAAAATTGTGTCTTTTGAAATGACGTGTTATATTTTGTTTATCAAAACATGAATGTTACCACCAAAGCAAAAAAATTTATAAACAGAATTTCTCTCAATTATGAAATAATAATTACTGAAAATACCTAAATAATCTTTTATGAAAAATAACCTTTAAAAGTTATGTTGCCAACCAAAAACTTAGCAACGAAATAAGCTGATTATTCTTTTAAAAATTCAATCTTTTTCACGTTTGAGAGATTTTAGAAATTACGAGTTTCTTCTTCTCTGCCTGCAGTTCTTTTATACCAATAAAAATAATTTTTGTTATTCTTTTGCCTTTTTTTTTTTTTTTTTTGATAGAGCCAATCGCATGAAATGTTTTATAAATAAATACCACTGTCTTAATCCCACTCTGGCATAAACTCTTTTTGAAGATCAAAACTTCTTACAGAAACATCTAATATTTTTTTCAGCGTCATTTCAATAATGTTGCTAGCAAGATTGGCTTTAGTAATGCGCTTTTTCCAACTGGTACATTCAAAGCAATTCAGTTTATCAGAGCTTTCTATGCAGGTGATCCACTACCTTTCTCATAATAATGCCGTTTTTGTTAATGTTCAACAGTATTCACAATTTCGTGCAATTTGATTGACCTCTGTTATTTGTAAAGTAATGGAAAGTGTAGTTAAGGACACAAAAATGAATTATTTAATTAATAAGTTAATAATACCAGATTAATACGGGTTCGTTAAATCGAAATGTTGTGTGGCTTCTTGAGATACTATAACAGAAGAAATAAAGAATGTTCCTGTTTTAACAGCAAGTAAAATAAAATGAACATAACAGAAAATAACAATATCTTAAATAAAAAATTATATTACTCCTTCAAGCATGTATCTTCAGATCTTATAAACAGCATAAATGATTCCTTTAAAAATAAAAAATGCGTTTTACTCCATAGATCATAAAATCCTACTTAAAAAGAAGCAAAACATGAGATAAACAGGATTAAAAGTTTTTTTCTGAGCAGATAACAATACTTAACTGCTTATTAAAAAACCCGTTCAAAATTGCTTAAATTAAACTCGGGTCTAATTAAGAAAATCTGAAACTCTTCTTTTTTGCATAAAATTGATAAAACTTCTGAAGAAATTTAATGTAAAATTTTAAGTTTAGATAAATAAATAAATACCTGCATTCCAAAACTTTAATACTTCAGGTTTAAAAAAGCAAAAATTACATTGTTATTTATATTGAGAAAATCAGAAAATTTATGGCGTTTATTTAGATTTCTAACCTGCCCCCTCCCCTCCTTTCTTTTTTTATTACTGAATATGATAATCAAGATTCACATAAAAAGATAGAACGGAAAATAAAAAAAAGTTCTGTAATTTTATGTGTTGAAAGTGTTGATGTGTTGAATGTGTAGTCAAAGTACTCCATAAATGTTAATACTTCGTGTTTTAAAAAAGATGGCAAATATTAGGTAAACATTACGTGGTAACATTATGAAACTAACATTAAATAAGAATTTATAAACTGGTTTTTATTCTGATCAATTTTTTTATTTTATTTCAATTTCATTAAATATTTTTTACAATCATTCGCAATTAGAATTTTTAAAAATTCTAATTGCGAAAATGTTGCTTTGTTTTAAAAAAATATACTCATATCTTATTCAAAATCTTATTTAAAAAGTTATTATTCAATTCAGAATCGCGGATCATTTTTGTGGAAAAGCTTTCCAAACATTGTTACTGAAAAGAATACTTTACTTAACCAGTTTAAATTTAGATCAAAGTGGTGTTAATCACACACAAATTTCAATGCACACAAGTCTTATTCGAAGTGTTTCTTTTAAAAGAGATCAATAAAATAAAATAATTTAAACACTACATCAACTTAAAAACTAATTTAAGTTAACCTTATATCTAATTACCCTGTAAATTTAAAGACTAAATGAAATAATTATTAGCATTAATTATTGCCATTAATCGCATATTTATTAGTTCTTTCTTTTTCTTTCTTTTTTTGTTTGTTCGCTTGTTTTTTGTTTCATCTTATTTATAGTATTACCTATTAATTAAGACGATCTTATTTTAATGTTAATATTTTTGTAAACACCTATAGATGTTTACAAAATATTGATAAAGCCCGTTCTCCATTCAGAACTTTTTGCGCTTTTAAGGAGCGGAAAAGTTCTTTGAGTATGCGCAAAATGTTCTGATTGGAGAGCGGGCTTAAATAAAACTGTTTGCGCATGCTCAAAGAACTTTTCCGCTTCTTCAAAGCACAAAAAGTTCTGAATGGAGAACGGGCTTAAAGTAATAAATAAATTTTTTTAATAATGTTACAAATTAAGAAAAAATATATATATATTTTATAAAAATATTCTTTTATCTCATAATAAATCATAACCAACTAGCCACATAAAAATTTTACCATCTTACCCAAAAAGCCTTTTTTTCAATAAACAGTCTGTGATCCTGAGAAAGGGCAAAAAGCGACTAGACATTTTAAAAAAAAATAATTTAATACGACTAATTAAGGTCGTTCCCACACCTACCGTGAGTCGACACTTATCGTAGGTTTTAAATACTAACCTAAATTTTGCAAAAAATAGTAATTGACATTTTTTATATTTTGTGTATCAACAACATCGTCATGCACTTCTATTACAATACATAGAAACTTATATAAACTCAGTGGGTTTATTACGTCAACCTATGAGAATACTTTTTTTTTAAGTACCAGCTATTTAAAATAAAACAAGGAAATTTATGAAGATAACATAAAATTTTATTACTAAATTGACTTAATCAGGTAAATAAAACACGAATCATTATTAATATTATTAAAACAACTCATCATTGTAGTATCAATGTAGTATTTTTGAATGTACGATAAAAATGAATTAAAAAAAATGTCTTTCCATACATTTTGTATGTCCAATGAATAATCAATTTGTTTCTTTTTTACTATAAAAATAAATATTAATTTACTTAGATTCTTTTACAATCGCAAGACAAAGGTTCGTGGCTTAAAACGAAGACTTCAATATATTGATAGTCAATTACGTGATGCTATTAATGCTGGTTATAAAAGTATGGTTGTGTACAAAGCGAGCAAGACGTTTGGAATTCTATATCAGACGCTTTGTGATAAAATATCTGGAAGAATTTCTTTGAAGATACAACACTGCGGGTATGAATCGGTTTTTGATGAACAAATTGAAAACAAGTTAGTCGAGTGGTTACTAACATGCACCAGAATTTGCTATGTCTGTAGTACAGCTATTAGATACTGTGCAAAAATATTTGAATTTCAACAATATAAAAACACAATTTACTAACGATTAACTAACCGTCCTGCAAAAGTTTGGTTTTATGCATTTCTTCGCCGTCACAAACAGCTATCATAAAAACGAGGTCAATACTTATACCGAGCTAGAGGAGGGTAATAAAAAAGGCATCACAATTTTGTTTTCAATAAATGCCAGCAGAACTTTTGCTCCATCATTAACAATTTTTAAATATGTTCGTCTTCCAAATAGAATTATAAATGCTGCTCCATTAGGATGGGTATCGGAAAAAGTAAAAATGGTTGGAAGACCGCAGAATGTTTATTTGAGTATATTACAAACGTTTTTCATCCATTTTTGATAAAAGAAGAAATTACTTTACCAGTTTTTTTTTTTTTTTTTGATAGTCATGCGTCACATTTTTCTATCGAGTGAGTTTTGCTCTAAAAATGGAATAATTGCAAAATATGTGTTGCTTTGTTCCCAAATGCAACACATATTTTGCATCCGCTGGATAAAAAAAAAAAGATTTTTGAGTAAGATTTTACTTGTTTGATTTCTTAGTAAACTTACTTTTAAATAATCTGAAAAACAATGGTAAAATTTTTATGTGGCTTTAAAACAAAAACAAAAACACAATATACCTTGTTTCATAAAAAAAAACAAGAAGAAAACCTTCCTCTAAAACTGCCAAAACTTATAAATTATAAACAAACTAAAAAACAAGATACTATAAAGTTTTTAGGAGTTATTGTGAATGATCATTTAT